CGATCCATTCCTACTGTGGGTCTAAGGTATGTGTATTTTCACCTAACCATGCTATTTAGTTTCGATTTTCTTTCAACTGATTTGGGATACTGGACTCTAGACAAAGCTACTGCTGAAATTAATAATGGAATCCATAAACTTTTGATGAAATGGGCTGACACACCTGTTACTATGGGCTATAAATGTTCCAATATGGGACGTGTTTTGGCTTCTAACTCTGATCCTAAAGTTGAATTTGTGTTTCACGGATTTCAGGTTTGTTGGTTGAATTAGTTGAACTCTATTTAATTTAACTAGGTTCAACCCTTTGGCATTACCAATGGTGTCTTCACGGATGCCGAAGATTGCGTAGGATTTATGTCGCCTGAAATTTTTTCAAGCCTATTTGTAATTTTCTTACTGCTCGGAATATTCGCTTATGGATTCCTTATGCTCACGAGCATCCAGACAAATGATACTTTTGATGATCCAAAGCACAAAATGATCCAATTAGGCTTGTCTACTGAGTAGACTCCCTCAATCTATTTCTTGCTCTGCGATTTCTCCATTATACATTTGAACTTTGTTGTGTGACATATCACTCACGTTGTACACTTATGTACTCATATTTCAGCTATTATCTATCTTCAAACCATCTTTTAGAAGAAAGGCAAAAGTAATCATTTTCTTCTTTAATGTCACTCCATAGCCAAAAATAGTCGCCACCAGCTGTTAATAAGACATTTTTGCTGGGATGGGGTGAAAGGGAGTGAACAAAGGGAACAGGGTGGGTGGTTAATTCTCCATTCTTGCTCCCACTATCACCGATATCGGACGACCAAGCTAAGCTGCAAGGTGAATGGTCTAAAATGCTCGCTATATCAGCTGCACCGTCGGCTACGTTCCACATTACAACTCGACAGTTCGAGTCCTCCGAACCACTTGCTATCTGTGCGTCGTCGTTCAGGAAGCAGCAATCAACCCTAGGGAGAAGAAAGAGAAAACCACGTATTTAACACAATAATGCTAGAGCCATTTATTTGGTCTGCTTCCCTGCATACCTATAGTCCTTGTTCACATGGCCGGTGTACCTATTGAGCAGTTCGCCGTTGAGATAATCGAATAACCTGATAACTGAGTCTTGTGAAGCCACGAGAAGACATTGGTTGTCAAATGACAATCCCACTGAGGTAACCGGAGAGCCTATGTAGTCCTCTGTCATTATCCCTAAAATGGGGTTCGTGAAATATACTTAGGATAAGGGGTTCTAGGATATTTATTTAATTCATAAGGTACTGAGCCAGTCGCACAGTAAGGTATTCATTGCTAACCTGAGCACCAACGACCACTATCTTTATTTTGTCTGATTCAAATGACAAGCCTTGCTGAGTTATGGCCGTCATTTCTCAATTATACTGTCGTAGTGAAGATTAACAGAACTTGGAAGATGAGATGTCTGGTTGTTGGTGCCCCTTTTAAAGACTAACGCAACCCATCGATACGAATAAGGGAAAATATGAATTTCAAGGTCAATGAAAAAAGTTTAGGTCCATGTATGTGCTGAATTTCCCAGTTTTATAATAAATTCTTATTAAAAAATCAAATGTAATAGACTCACCTTTCCGAATATCATAAACACGAACACACCGATCGACAGAACCCGTGATAATTTGCCATCGACGAACAGTGAGACAATTGACACTATCCTTTGCTTCATGCATTGTCTACAACAAAAGAAACTAGTTGGAAATAATAGAGTTGGAGGAGATTAAATAACAAGATGCCGAGTAAACCAACCTGAATGGGATAAGGGGTCCTTGCGCGGGCATCCCATGCAAGGAGCATACCATCCACGCCCACGGAGAAAAGAAGAAGACTGGAAGAAGGTGCTAACTCACCTTCCGTTGCCGCTGGACCGGCGAATCGCACCGCGTTCACACGACCTGCGTGTTTACGCCACCGTCGCAGTGACTGCCCAGAAGCAACATCCCACAGCACGACCAAGGTGTCAGCACCTCCAGAGCCTATTAGACTATTATCACTTGCTGCCTAAACAGATAAAAATATTACTACCGACATTAACATAACTAGAGATACGCGTACAAACATCGAACTAACCTGTACATCAGAGACTTCTCCACCATGACCAGTGTAGGTCTTCAGTAACCTACCCACTTCGGGATTCCACAAACGAATTGTTCGATTTCCTCCAGCTGTTAGGCAATACTGACCATCTGCATTAAAACGAACTGCCCTAACGGCACCCTGATTGCAAAGCACTCTTCTAATTGGTAGTAATGTAGCCGTTTCTGTGGTAGCAGCCTAATATCATCCAAAAGTAAGGTAGGAACTAAGGTAAATAAACCCAACGAACAAACAATGACAAAAGAAGACATTTGAAACAATATTTATATATAAACAACACGACATAAACATAATTTCCTCCACATCTATATGCCTTCCTCAAATCTTCATTTTTTCCATAAGGTCTTCTAAAAAGGAGGAAAAATAGATAATGTTAGATACACTCCAGGTAAGGAAATTACATGAACTTACGTGTATTCTGACTGAGCCAGCTTAGAGCATGCATGTGTGAGTTGAGAATCCGTGTGACTTGACCAATCACATTATTGTTTTTATCAAAGCTGTCGCTAATAGAGGCTGAGGTCGAAGCGGAGGAAGGAAAGTGAGATTCGATTCCTGGTTCAAGTTCAGCTGTGACAGCATTCACTCGCTCTGCCATCTCGCGTAATTCGCTCAACAGTTGACCCAATTCCAAGTCGGTATTGATGCACATCTGGAAAATTGCTTCACGCTCGGCGTCGGCGTGCTGTTGACTTGGCAGCAAATCAGAAACCGCCTGCTCCAAGGGCTCAAGGAGATCCTCTAACGCGCGCTGTTGCGATTCGACAAACTCTAACTCCTAGGAAAAAAAATTAACTACAGAAGAATTTCATTACAAGTCAATGTTTTACGATCGAAAAATAATTCCCTCCACGTTTCAACAATCACCTAAAGCAATGGGAATGCCAGGAAATTAGAAGTGAACAAAGGATAAATACAGAACATATGTTTCACAGATCGACGTAATTTCATATCCAGTGGATAGTTGTCTAAAAGAGAGATGGTGAAAACTCGGAAAAATATGGCAACCAAAATCGTACTAAACTGATGATAAGAAATAGAGCTACATTTATGGAATTCAACAATTAAATCAGCAGATAACCATAGGATCTCAGAAGTCGACATACGTCATAAATTCTTGAATTGAGTCGACTATTCTTTTTACTGATACACTTTCTATTATTAAAATGTTGCTTTTTCTTTGCCTTGAATAATAACCACAGTGGGATAATTTAGCAATTTTCATTGGAGAATGCTTTAATATGCCGCTTTTAACTAATATTAACGATTATTTTAATCAATGAGTACGTTGTGATTATCTAGTAACGAACTCGAACAAACATCAATAGTCGCCTGCCTAGACAAGAACAACCCCTTAATTAAATTAACATATCGTTATATTGAAAAGTAACCTATTCCTAGGCATATGAGGATTTATAATAATGAGGTTCAAATCCGTTCCTCCATTATAACTACTTACATAAACCCTCTGAGAATCTACTACCACTTGCAGCCACACCTCAACTTCTATGTCTCTACTTCTCGATGTTCCTGGTCGTACGCTTATGACGATAAGCAATGTCTTGCCTTTTCCGCATTATGTAAAGTGAAGATAATTAGTAACAGATTAGAGATTCGTTCGTGTTATACCTACGGGGTTGGGAGTAAAATGTCTTATCCGTTCACCTTTTGAATGATTGCGAACGATGACAACAATTGAAATAAATATTAGTGACATTCAATGACCAAATTCATGTAGATTCACTCACGAGAGACTAAATAACATGAAAATCAAGGCTCACTTTAATTGATCTATAACGCCTGCCCAATTAACATCCATGATAACTTATTGAAGTTGTGGACAAAAAGGAGTAAAATTATGCGCTACCATCAGACCTATTTTTCTAGTACAAAATAACACTCATTCTTCAACTATTTATGCCCGTTAAGAAGAGACCATTTAAAAACAGCCTCTCATAAGCGTAACTATACTAGAAAATTATCAAGTACAAAGTCTCAGTAACTCCTACTCAAAATGTTTCACCTCTGGTGCCCAAATGGTAAACTGTATATTATCATTATAAATGAACATTTGCATGCAGTCAGCTAAATATAAAGAGAAAAGTGAACATCTTTTAAATATATTTCAGGAGAGAACTACCTGATCAATTCGATATTGCCCAGCTTTGCAAGCCTCAACTTTAGCATGAAGATCGGAAATTTTATCAGCATTTGCAATCAGCAGAGCGTCCGCTTTGTTTAATCGACACAACTCAGATTCAAAATTGCGACTCTGCTCATCTAACTCATACGTCCATTTATTTACCAACTCCTCTAGTTGTCGATAGGTGTAAGTACTGGGAGCTGAAGGCTGTGAAGCAGCTGAAGCAGGTGCAAGAGTTGCATTTGAAACAGTTGTTGATGAATCAGATGGCTTTGTCACTAAGCTGCCGAGAGAAAAAGAACTGAAGGCCGACGTCGTGGTGGTTAAAGCGACTCCCGTTTTCTGAGCACTAAAAGTTGGACCTGTAGTAGATCCAACAGATGTAGTATTAGTCGTGGTGGAAATGGCAGTAGTAGATGGTTGACTGGATGCAAGACCAAAGCTAAAGCCACTGTTAGCAGCAGTGGTGGATGATGTTGTCGTAGCAGCAGTAACAGAAGTCACGAAGGATGGGTTAGTAGATGTTTTTGGAGTAGAACCGAAGTCAAATCCCGTGTTTGATGTTGGTTTTATTGTAGTAGGAACGAGCGAGGTAAATGAAGAAGTTGTCGGAGCACTAGTGGCTATGCTATTTGAGTTCAAAGCGAAAAACGGAGTCGATTGAGAGCCAGTCTTGTTAGCGGAACTAGAGAAACCAAATGCAGGTTGTGGTAGAGCAGAAACACTTCCTGTAGGGGCTGTAGAAGTAACGAATGAAAACCCAGATTTTGCAGGAATAACAGAAGTGTTAGATGGCGAACCAAAAGAAAAGGAGGGAGCTGAGTTGTCCGTAGCCTGCGTAGTCCCCAAACTGGGAACATTTAGGCCAGTTGGTTTTGTTCCCGTTTGAGTTGTAGGAGTGCCGAAAGAAAATCCTGACATTCTACCTAATAGGGAAACAAGTCATTGAGAATTTAAATGTACCATTTGACAGAAAAAGCAGGTTCCAAAATTTCAATAATCATTTACGAAAGATACAAGTAATAGGTCAAAACCATAATAAAGGCATAACAATTTTAAAATAATGAAGTTATTGAAAATTATTAAATTAAATTTCGCTACGGATCTAATAACAACCACCTTAACGAGTTCAAGAACAAATGCTTGTTTTCAAAAATTAACGGCTTATGTAGAATAGTAAAATACTACTCTTCATATTGTATAGACTACGAATTTGTAGAAGTAATAAATAATATCTATAGAAAATCGTTAAACCCCAATATAAAGTTAATTAAATAAAATTAGTATTGCATAAATATTTTGTTTATATGATAATTTTGAAATGTTTTCAAAATAAAACTTATGTCTTTTTCCCTCTAGTTAATTGTATAGACTGTTGATTTGCAATTTCGCTAAAAAATTTACTGCCAATTTTATATAAGTTTCAATGAAAGTCTATTTGGCATTTATGATCAGTTTAATGCAAAAATATCTTGTCTTTATTGGGATAATTTGAATTTAATTCAAATGAAGAAATTCCAAAAGATTTGTTATTGTTTTCCAACGAATGCTGTTAAATCTACAATCCATTTAAATATGTTATTAATGAGAAGTTCCAAGGGTATACATTACTCTGGTGGTCAGGCACATTTGCCTTACATGTAGACCTTAAAATAGAACGAACCTACTCTGCCAGTCAACTGTGTTTAAATTTTTCTGTGAATGTAATTAATGCTAAATCAAATTCACTAAATTAATACTGTGCAAAGAGCTAAACTATTTCCAGCGATATTCATGCGTCCTCCTAATAGCAATATTTATTTATACAAATAATACGGTATATATTAGAGATTTTAATGTTTTAATATAGCGAAATTTGCAATTACTACTAATCAATGGATTACTTATGGATCGGTAAATAGTTAAATGCCCAAATGCATGCATGCGACTTTCGACGTTTTTGGATCTAAATTCTTTCTTTCTAATCTCTCGGTCCCTCTTTTACACACTAATCCTCGTTGCGTCTATTCAGAACATTCAGTCTATACAACATATTGTGCTCTACTTTTGAAACTGTTGGTTACAATTGTAATCCGCTATCTGGTTCTGGTTTATTTCTTACTACGTTGTAAAATTAATGTTGCAGATACTTAAGATTTTCATGTTCGATGAATCGATGCTCAAAAAAACATAATCGCTCAAGACCTCAACTATTTCTTCCATTAAAACCTTCTTCGATTCCTTCTTGGAATGCTTATTATATTATTTGAAGAGATTGCAATTTCGAGATTCAATAGCTCACTGAAATAGTGAAATTTCAATTTGGAGGCAACAAATCCGAACGAACGGCATTTATCAGTTGAAAATCTGTAAGTGCGGCTTAACAGAAAACATATATAATATCAATAACTTAGCTTTTGTTAATCTATTGATTTTCTAACCCGAGCGACAACTTCAGAGACCGTTCAAATGAACATTAACTCATATCCGAACCATTTTTCTTCCCCTTTAAATAAGCACAAGATTAATCTGGTGAGCTCTTATACTTACCATGGGTTGCCGACAAGTAATCAAGGATTAGATGGTCTGCTATAATAACGACAAAAAGTCAGCCTGTGAATTTCTGGTCAGTTGAACTATTGAAATTTCAAACTATTAATGCGTGAACAAAACTGTTATAATTTTTATCTATCCATTTAATTAATTTCGGGATCATTTATTGTAGCGTTTTCCAAAGCTCAACTTATGTATTACGAACCTCCTTAGTTAGAACTTCGAATTTTTACCACTGTCTTGTAGAAAAATGCTCGTCAGAGAAAAGACAAAAAGATAAAAGATAAATCAATAAAAACGTCTAAACATGGAGATATTCTAGACAACATCCCATTGAAATATTATTTGCGAAATTCAGGTATCCCAAAATTTGTACAATCCAGGAGTTTATTTAACCAACTCTAAATGTTCATTTAGAATGCTAACAGCTAGATAATGTATCCAATATAATCAAAAACTAATCACATCTGAAATGTGTGCATAAAGCAGAAATTATATACGTATGGAGCCCAGCTCTTACCCAAATTTCGAGATGTGCACCTCGATCATCGAAAACCTGAAGATAATCTGTCAACTAATCTATTTTTGTTCCTAGATGGATATTAAAAGAGTTATATAAAAAATTATGGCTACAAAGTAGTATGAGGAATATCTTTATCCTGATTTTCCATAAAAAGAAGTTTAAGAAAAGAACGAGTCTGCTTGAATTTTTCTCTATCTAAAAGAGTTGGTCTGACCAGTGTAGCACTCAAATGTAATAGGATACAGCTATTATCTTGAATTAGTCCTTCTGCCATTATTTCCATTAAAACTGTTCAATCTTCCTGCAAAAGTCAACAGATGTCTACCAATACAAGGCAATTAGAAGGAAAAGGTGTCGATAAATTCTCGACTCCGATACCACGAACCGGATCATCTGCCCGAGTATGCTTATTCACAGGTGTTTAAACAGATGTAATCCCGCAGTGGCATGGACTACTAGACATGACTGGCGTAAAAGTGAACAAAATTGCATATAAATCTGATGTTAATTTTTTAATTAGGACGGCTTCCGGACCACATCTGTATTGAGTTAAGAATATAAGCGATTTGATATTTTGCTCCTATGATGCTCAAATTCACATAAAAACATATAATTTTTTTATTTATAAGAGTATGATAATAAAGGCAATAGTAATATAAACCAAATACATTATGCTGACATGAGTATGGTAATTTTATGGCTATAATGTTCACTTGTTAGGGGTGTACGATGGACTTACATTCACATGGTGCACCCTGGGCAACGTATACTCATACAGCAAAAAAGTCAATTAACTAGCAGTTGACTTCTGGCTTCTAACTACCAACACCCCATTGTATAACATATTCCACCACTTTCACAGTACTCACCTCATCTTATTCCATCTTTGTGTCTGTCACTTTACACCTGTAATTACTCTTCTGTTCCCCCCCTCTCGACTTTTTTCACTTTGATGTTCCTTCCCTATGTGAACCCTTAAGTAAACTAAAGAACTAATGATAGCTATCAAAACGCCTGCCATTTGATATAAATAATTGAATGTTCACTTATTCAAAACAGCACCTGAGGCTCAATTCACCATGCATTTAAAGGTTGATGGGATCACCATATGCCCGAAATAGATTGTCAATCGAGAGAGAAATATGAAATAAATAAAAAATCGAAACAAGCAGAAGCAAAATGGTTATATTACCTTCAATTTTGTGATAGTAAATGATAATAAGTAACTAATTTAAAAACTCGTAATTATTACAATAAACTTTAAGTGGTATACGTTCTAATCTGGTCAATTATTTATTTCGAATTATTGAACGCATATAACGAAAACATTTTATTAAAGATAGCTAATTCAATCAAAATTGAGTTCAAGGTCACAATCAAGACG